CTCCATCCCTCCTACCTGCGCAAGTCGGAAAGAGGGAGGAGAGAAGGCATGGAGTGGGTTTTACACACATCACACCAATCAAATGAGCCCCTCTCCTCGCCCTTAAATGCGCCGCTTGAAGGCATAATCAGAGTTTACTCAATTCGCCATGGCAGAAGAGAGCAGCAGCGTCAGATGACCAAACTTCTCCCAGGAGGAAACTGATGTTTTGGTCTGGGAGGTCCAAGCTCGCACTGTCCGAATAAACGGAACTGCGAGCAGACCTCCACGGGCTGATGATGCAAAGGTAGCCTGGGATGAAATCACCACAATTGTAAATCAATGTTGCCTTTCTCTCGTGCGTGCGCGCTCTCTCTTTCTCTCTTGCAGTCTCACTCTGTTTCTTTTCTTTTAACTTTTCTAAGATGACAGATGCTGAATATATACTCCCTATCTGATGCTGTGGCTGTTTGTGGTTGGCTGAGAGGGATGTGAACTCATTAGTTTGCAGCTGTGTCAATCAAATCAGGTTGGGTTTTGTTGGGAATAGAATGATGTTATGTGTTTTACTATAAGTTGTGTTTCACTATATAAGTTTTAGATGTGTGAACAATGAGAATACTGAGATGATTTCAGCTGATCTGAATGTGTTTGCTTTGCAGAAGTGGAGAAGTACAGGAGAGGAAGAGACATGAAGTCTGAGGAGCACATACCGCAATGCTTAGATAATTAGTTTCATATATGGTAAAAAGAATAGAAAGTGATATACAGATAGTAAGGTACAGCACGTGTAGGGAGTTGTGTTGTTCTCTTGTCTTTCAAAACAGGAACCACGCCCCCACCGCCAGCGGGAAGGAGTCAGATTAACACGAGGCAGGGGCGTGGTGTGGTGAAGGAGGAAGTGGAACTGCCAATGAGAAGAGGACAACGCCTTGCGTGCACAATGACACTCTGTTACGCTCAAATATACTGGGTCAGGGAAAGGACAGGAGGTCAGACTTCGTGAACTGACACACCTTTGTTGTTCGTCAGGGACGTGAAGTTGAGACCCAGAGCTCTGTAATTTTATTCCTTTACTGCTTAATAAACTACATTAACTGAGACCGAACATCTTCTCCTATTGCTTCATTAAAGAACACGCAGGACTGTGCTCACACATAGCACATTGGAGAGTAGGATGAGACTCTTAGTCCATTAGTTTCCATTACGCGTGCCAAACGTGCTAAACGGTGCCAATCCCCTTTGATCTGACATCACGTGTGACGGGAATAGTGTTTTTTTTGGGTATTTATTGCATTGTTAATGTGCCTGACATTCTGGAAACCTGCCTGTGAGGTTTTGGTGAAGTGTGCGCACTGTCTGCTGGTCAGCCAAACTTCGGCTTACACCGGCTGCGCTCAGCCTGAGCTGAAAGTAAACCTGGATTCAGCTGGCGAGCTTTTAGCGCACCTTCGGCGAAGCCTTTTGGCACGAAACTGTCACTGCGCCAAGCTGGCTCTGTCGACACCTCCCCCTGCTGCGCTGCCACACCCTTCTCAGCACACCTCACCTCGGGTTGTGCTGCTCGAAACTAGCTCTGCGTGGGGTTCGCCACCCTGCGCTGCGCCGGGAAACTAGAGCCCTCTGTCTCAACAAACTCTGGTCTTGGTCATGACCTGGTCTCAGTTTAGGTGGTCGTAATTACAACACTGCCCCATGGCTTTACAGAGATTTCTAGAAAGTTTAGGTCACTGTTTCACTTTTGGGCCTGTAACTTTACTCTTTTGTTTCACTCTCACAGTGGCTGCAACAGACAGTTGTTTTCAGTGATAAAGCTCTAAAACCCACTGCACACTACCTGATCAGTAGAGCGTGGCTCAGGCCAAGTAGCAATCAATCCCAACATGGACCCAACAGACACTGTATGTTTTATGACCAGAGTTGGGTATAACGTGTTACAAAGTAACAGCATTACAGTACTTTGATTACTTTTTGCAGTAACAAGTAACCTAACACATTAGTTTGCTGTTTGAGTAATCAAATACTTAAGTACATTTTCAAAAAAGACATCAGTTACTTCCGTCACTTTTAGAACGCTGGTCCTTCAGCACCGAAACAGCAATGGCTGTCGTTTGGTTCTAATAATGGAGATAATGTTAAACCTATCAGTCATCGGCCTATCAGCTTGTGGCTCACTACGTGGTCGGAGAAATGATGCCGTTCTCTACATAGAGTCTAAATAGGTGGAGTAGGACTCGCTGACAGACATATTTCAGACTCAAGATTTGCATTATGCCTGGTACACACTACATGCTGGTACTCACCAATGATCCCCGGTCGTCTTTCACGGCATGTGCGATGTCATCGGATTATTCTTGTCCTGTTTTTATTACTTTGACTATTATTTGAGTAGCTGTGTGTCTGTTCATGTGCCAGCCGACATGTTGTTGTAGTCACCTAAAAGCGTCAGCAGATGGCAGGAGCTACATTTGAAGCGCCATATATAAACCGTCAAGCTACTGTATCTTCCACAGGAAGATCTGACAAATGTTTCAGAATAAAAGCCTATTTACAGAATGGAGGGTTCTCTCAGCCAAGGTTATAAGGGGCTTTTAATTTGAAACAAGTGTTGATTTTGAAATGATGGTACGATATGTTAACTTTATGAAGACAACGGGAGCGGATAAAAAGTAAAAATATAAAGATACGGAGGGATTAATAAATAACGGACCGTCTATAATGTAGTTTGTTTCAAATGAAGCTGGGAGCCTCTGCAGTTGTGGTGAGTAAAAGCCCCGCCGCTATTTGTTAATGTTATTACTTTATGTCCTACCGTGAGGATGTACCATTGTTTGCTAGCTTGATGCTAATAACAGTAATGTTAACTCAGCGGGTTGACAAAGTGCCTCTGCTGTTTCACACCATCATTTCCCCCTTTTACTCTGTGTGGTAACATCCCTAGAGGAAATATTAAAAACGCTGGGATGTTGTTGTCATACTGTTGTCTACGGCAGCAGATCGTTCTGTGTTTCTACTGGTCAAAGTGATGGCTGTGATGGGAGAATTGGATCTCAGTGAAGGGCAAGTGTTCCATAACTTTAATTTTGGAGACAAAAAATGCAGGCTTAGCGCCCTGTGGTCCATTGCCCAACAGGAAATGTAGAATACTCAAAAGTACTTTAAAAGTGCTTGAGTTACTTTTCTCAGGGAGTAACGTTTGAAGTACTTTTAAAGTAATTGAGTTACTTTACTCAGGGAGTAACGCAGTAACTGGTTACTTTTTTAGAAAGTAATGCAGTAACGTACTTTGATTACTTTTAAAGTAACCCTTACCCAACACTGTTTATGACTCAACCTGAGCCAAGCCAGGCACAGTTGATGTACTGAAGTGTGTCCTTATCATGCTGTTGTTGTGACTGCTGTCCAGAAGGAGTGAACTGGTCGACAGACCCAAGTGGCATGCATATAATTATCTGTGCTACCCAGTGTGCATTGTGAGCAGGTTTCTGTGTCAGCCAGTCCCATTTTCAACATTTTACTCCGAGTGATGTGGGTTCTGTGGATGGTTTTTATATTGTATAAGTTGTAAATTTGTGTTAGTGGTCAGAGAGAAGCTGTTGTTATTGATTTGTATCCAGAAGTTGGGGTTGGGAGAGAGAGCCAAGTCATTTTCCCATTTTGTGGTTGGGAGTGTTATGGAGGTGTCTGAAATGGATATATGTTCATAAGGTTTTGAGGTGACTATTTTTTGTTTTTTTTTTAGTTTTGGATTTTCATATTCTCGTTGCTTAGTTGGGATGTCTGTAGTGTGTTGTTGGTGTTCATTTTGGATTTAATTGTAGATTTAGTAGGATAGTATCCACAATGGATGGCAAAAGCACTATCCACCTAAAGTTCCGTTCGCTGCTGATGCTGCTGCTGCTAGCTAGAGGGTGATGACAGAGAGCGTCCTCTTCTGGCTAGCTAATGTTAACTTACATGAACATTTACCACCTGAAAAAAGCTATGTGTTGTGTTCAAATATTGTCACATCAATAAAAAACCCAAGCACCGAACAAAAAGTAGCCCAATGCAGACAGTGGGTCCATCATTAATAGGCTGAACCCGACCCAAATATTGCTTGTAAAGGCTTGAGTTGGGTATCCACACTCTACTGCTCAGCACCAAACAGCAGACAGACACAGTTAGAGACTAGCTGGTGAACACAGTGGAGCATTTAGCAGCTAAAAAGGGACAGATATTTCCCTTAGGAGTTGGTGGAGACTAAAAAAGAGCTAAAAGAGAGTCAATATATGGACTGTCATTCATCAAATGAATGATTATGTTACTTCGTACCTGCTGAATGTTTAAATTAGCAACTGTTGGGTAACAAGTTCACTACATCAACTTAAAAGTTGACTCAATCTATCAGTGTTGTGTTCAAAGCTTTCCCTGAATTGGTCAAAGAAAAATCAGTTAATGCAGGTTTAAGCATTTAACGTTGACCCACATGACATACAATACAATAATACAATAATAACTTTCTTACACACTGGTTGCAATATTTGAAAATGAAAATAACTGATGATGCTGTGATTTGTCATCGTTGCCCCTATAAAGTCTCCATACACAGACCTCTCTCAGAGGGAGCTCAGCAGAAGCCATTCATCTATAGAACTGTGTGCAACAGTTGTAACTGCAGGGATGGTTTGGTAATGTGAGGTATTGCATATGCTTGTTTTGTGTGTGTGTTTCTATCAAATTTTTTGTGGGTACAAGTGATATTAAACTTACGTCTATTGTTTTTGGTTTAATCAGCTAAAATTCTACCAGTTGCAGCTGTGAGGTTGTTAAAAAATAAATATTTTGATCTTTGTGCAACGAAAAAAAACTGTGCATCTAACTTATACAAATACAGTATTTTAGATTACATTAACAGACACAGTTTAGTCACATTAAAGTTCTTTCATTTTGGATCTGTCTTTAGAGCTACAATACATGAATTTGGGCCCTGTCTAAAACCCTTGAAAAGCTTTTCTTTTTTTCTTTAAACAGAGAAATATATGGCAGCCAATAACTCAGTTAATGGCAGTGAATCCTCAGTGTACACGATCAGTGATCGGGTCATTTTAGTTCAAGTTTTTGTGTCAGTTTTTCTTTTCATCAACTTTTTGATGATCACAACTTTCTTTATGAAAGATTTCTTCTACACAACTGTGCGCTACATCTTATTTGCTACAGCACTACTGTCTGATTGTCTGTTTTTAGTCATGACTGATATCCTGCTCATTATGTCCTATTTTCAGTATACCATAAAAATGTGGTTGTGTCTTATTATGTATATTGTTTTGTCTCTGTGCAATTTTGTCACACCAGTTACTCTGACAGCAATGACTCTGGAGCGCTATGTGGCAATATGCATGCCCCTGCGCCATGGACAGTTGTGCTCCACACACAGAGCTCTGCACTGTATCCTGGTAATTCATGGCCTCAGCTGTGTACCCTGTATTGTTTACCTCTCTATTTTCTTTGCATTTACGACCCACAGCCTCTATACCAAGAGCAGACTGTGCTCAGTGGAAGTGTTCATCTCCCACAAGTGGCAGGGTCATCTTAGGGCAGCTATAAGTCAGTTTTACTTCTTGATTATGTGTATTGCTATTGTTTTCTCATATGTTAAAATAATGAAAGTGGCAAAAACGGCATCAGGAGAGAATAAAAAGTCAACATGGAAAGGGCTCAGAACAGTAATTCTTCATGCTTTCCAGCTGCTGCTCTGTCTCATCCAGCTGTGGTGTCCATTCATAGACGCTGCCGTACTTCAGATTAATTTCAGGTTATACATTAATGTCAGGTACTTTAATTACATTACTTTTATTCTTGCTCCGAGATGTCTGAATCCTCTCATTTATGGTGTCAGGGATGAAAAGTTTTTTCATGCACTTAAATGCTATGCTCTCTGTGGCTTGTTTAAGAAACAATCATCATTTATTTGATTGATGAATTATTGTTATGATGTTACACTATATATTATATAACATATTTAAATATGTTTATCTGGATGTCATTCTCTGTGCATGTGTACATGTGTGATCATATTGTACTGATGAATATTCAATCCCATTCCCTGTAATTTTACTAACATTAAAGTGACCCATACAACCTTGTCTGTTTCATCCCTTGATTGATTTTAATTTGATATGACTTCAGATCAGCAACAAACAAAACACCAATCCTGTTACAAGCGGTTACAAAACATACAATTTATAGTTTAAATGTCTTGAAAATGAATGTTCTTATGCAGCATACTTTGGTTGTGTGCCTGTTTAATACATAGAGCAGCCTCTGGCTCCATGAGTCTGTTGATTTGAGCTGTGTTCTAAAACTGTACCCTCTACCATGAAGGTTAAAGACCAGAAAGTGCTTTTACATCCTCTACCAGGCAGGCAATACTGCACTGGTAGGATCTTTCAAATGCTCTGACATTTGAAGCAACCTCTTGTAGCCTATAGGCCTACTTCATTAACATTTAGCTGAAAGCGACGCTGTGCCTGAGTAGAGCCTCAAAGAGCTACTAGCAAGGCTGTAGGCCCCGTTTACACCTGGTATTAACATGTCCTGGGCTTACTCAGCTGATGTCCATGCTTATCTGATGCCCCACCAGTTATAAAAAAAACTTTTGTTGGTGCTGTTACACAGACGCTGAGCCCGAGGACTCTACTCCCAGCAAATGGTCAGTTCAAGCAGCCGCTGTCAATTGGTCTTAACAAAATCACACGAAACAGCTTGACTGACATTATACCAGTTAATAACCGTGAGGTACATTAGCTGTGCGATACTAACAGTATGTCCTGTCACTGTGTGTGCGTGTGCCATCGGCGTCGCCAGACAGATTTTACTGGGGCATGTGCCCCAGTATTGATCTGCAGTGCCCCAGTAAAAATTTCACCAGTAAAAAATTCACTTCGCAGTGTGCACATGGCTATGGTAATTAATGGTAATTAATTCATGCATCGACCCGTAGTATATGGTGTTTTCTGGGCATATAGAGACTTTGAGAGGCGCTGCCAAGCAGCTGCGTGACTAAAGGTAAGAGCTAGGTTTTGAAGTAACGTTAGCCCATAACGACTTGCTGAATACTTATGGTATTATTTTGATTTCGATTTGACTTAAACATTATTACTCCTGTAGATGGATATCAGAAAGTTCTTTGCTCGCAGCTGGGATAAAGCAGCAAGGACAAATGAGAGAGGTAAGCCCCTGGCTTAGGGTTGCCACCTTGGATTTGTGAAAAACTCGACACTCGACCAAATGTTTGAGTCAGAGGGCTCGGCCATTATTACCAGGTCAGACTGACCAATGAACATGAAATTCGGACATAGGAGACCAGATTTGCCATCATTCCATTCAATCAAACAATCAATCAATCAATTTTATTTATAAAGCCCAATATCACAAATCACAATTTGCCTCACAGGGCTTTACAGCATACGACATCCCTCTGTCCTTATGACCCTCGCAGCGGATAAGGAAAAACTCCCCAAAAAAACCCCTTTAACAGGGAAAAAAAAAAAAAAACGGTAGAAACCTCAGGAAGAGCAACTGAGGAGGGATCCCTCTTCCAGGATGGACAGACGTGCAATAGATGTCGTACAGAACAGATCAGCATAATAAATTAACAGTAATCCGCATGACACAATGTGCCTGTATTTTATATAAATTTTATATCGATGAAAAATAATAAATCTGTGTTACTAAATTCTTACATTTTTACATGTATCTCACCATAGCAAGTTGGAAGTTGACATATTCTGCCATATATGAAGAGGGGAGACTCTCTGGAATCTGGCAATATAAGAACCATGATGGTGGGACATTCTGTCACTTCACAGCTGTCCAAAACATGTGGTTTGTGCCAGGCGGACATGATTGCCAGTATTTTTTCATTATTGCAAGAAATTCCATTGACTCATTCACAAGTCAAAAATGTGTTTTATCTGAAAGAAACATGCAATATTTACATCTAAGATCATAGAAAAATAGTCAACCAAGTGCAATGATGTCCTCCAAGATAATATTTGCCACTTGGATTGCAGTAAAAAAATATTTGGGCATTGGGGGGGGGCACGTGTCCCCCTCAATGTATATGGTGACTACGGCCCTGTCATGCATGCATAATTAGGCCTCAGTTGTCTGGGTGCGCAAAGGTGAAGTGGCTGGTTTTGTCATAAAAAGTTTGATGAAGTGTCAACTGGACAATATGGAGATATTTGCATCTTGAAAGCCGGACTACAAATGTGGATAGACAGGGAGAAACACACGCCAGCCTAAGACGTGGTAAGATACGATATTCCTCACTATATTAAGTGACTGATAACAAGATCTGTATAATGGGTTGTAAAGAAATTCGTCAGGATTTTATTTGGTAGACACTTGATCTGTATTTATAGCGTGATGGGATGACAGCACAATGATGTGTGTGGTCCTGCGCTTTCATGTGATATGCGTGGCATTTCTGTGCGACCCTGCATTCGTGAGTAATCCATCCAAGAGTAATGTGTGTACAGAGCTGTATGAAAGATCTGTTATACATAATTTTAGTGTAACTTTATCATTTTTTTTTCGCTGTGAAAACATTCGGAAAGCTACGATTCCGCTGTTTCATGTGATATGCGTGGCTTCTCGCTATGACACATGGTCGCGGAGAAAAACCATAGAGAAGAACAGGTGTGAATTTGGACGCACTATACGTTGTTAGGGCCCATAGGGTTAAATATAAATGGAAAAAATACAAATTAAAACATGATTGGATGTGCAAATATACGAAGTGAAATGTTCTGGACTTCCCACAGCTCCTCTTACCTTTTTGTTGTCTCTCTGACACAGATGTTCTTGAGCCTGTTGCACTGATTCTGGACGGACTCCTTGGCCTGCTGCTGCTGCATTTTCCCCAAAAAACGGGACAAATTGTGTCCCGGGAGAGACTTTTTTTTTCCCCGGGACAGCAGATGAAAAAAGAGAACAATTCTGGGAAAAACAGGACGGGTGGCAACTCTACCCTGGCTAGCCAACGTTAACGTTAAGTTAGCTAACGTTAGCTAACGTGATTTGTTGTATCAAGACAACAGAATTAACATTAGGTGTAAAAATAGTGACTTTTGTTAGAAGTAGCTAATGTAATAAGGATGGGTAGGCCGAAGTGGTGACGAGCTGTCAGTCAGACCCGAGGGCAATTTCCAGTGAGTTGACTCTCAGTGTGAAGTGCATTAACGGTGGCATAACGTTAGCTGGTTCTGGTCAGTGTTGCCAGATCTCGTGAGACAAATAAGCAACCAGGCCTGTGAAAACAAGCCCAAAACAAGCAACTTTTTCTACGGAGCCCCCCTAGGTTCCGGTGAGAAAAAATTAAATAAACTCTGTGCACGGTTTTACAGTCCATGGGGATGGATTTTAAACTGTGGGTACAGATTGTCAATTTACATCCATGTGGACAGATAAGTAAACTGTGTGCAGTTTACTTATCTGTCCACATGGATAGATAAGTAAACTGTGCGCACAGTTTACTTATCTATCCACATGGATGGAAATTGACAATCTACATCCATGTGGACAGATAAGTAAACTGTCAGGGGCGAAAATCCCATTTCATAGTTGGGGGTGACAATAAACAGTAAAATTTTAGAGAATAATTCCAGGGGGGGACAAGGAAAAATAGTTGTAGCCTGTCTTTTATACAGCATCTTTTACCGCAATTTGACGCTTTCATCTTCTCTCTATCTCTGCAACAGGCAGAGTGAATGTCTATACTAACTAAACTAAAAGTAAAACTAAACATTTCCTGCAATTAAACTGGTAAACTGGTTTATAAACAGTGTGCTGTGCGATCTGCCGCTGCGCACCTCACAACCGTGCCTAATAGTCGCTCGTAATGACCGCTCCTCGTCTGCACGTCTTCCGTGTTTGTCTCACTGACAGGTGGAGAGCCTACAGACAGGCACCCATACGAGCCGCTCCACCACAACCGTGCGTAACAGTCACTCGTAATGACAGCTCCTTGTCAGTTAGACTGCACGTCTTTCATGTTTGTTTCACTGACAGGTGGAGAGCCTACAGACAGGTACCCATACGAGCCGCTCCGCCACAACCATGCGTAACGCCGGATTTCCACTGGATGCGTGTCCGTTGCGGAACGGCAGCGCTGGTTATCCGCTGCTTGCTCCGCTGTCCTCCAATACCCACCGGCTGCATTTGCTGTGCGGTGCGGTGCAGCTCCGCCGGAAGACATCTCGGTGCACTGCCATGATTAATATCTCCTCGTCCATGGTGTTCACGGGGTGAAATGACGTCTGAAAACCTCTGACCTGTTGACTTCAGGCCTGCCTCTGCCCATTATGTAGTTTTTAAGGTGTAGTGCAGGGAAATATGATCCACCGTGAACACTGTGTATTTTATTTTGAAAATTAGGCTGGAACTAGTCTGACAAACTGGTGTGGAAGCACCCAGGTATTTAACCTCTGGGGAGGTCTTCACAAGACCAATGATGTCACTGGTTCGTTAGTGCTCCAATGGTGTGTCAACGACAGTCGTTGAAACTCCTGCTGCAACGAGCTATGTACAGTAATATTTGTACAGTAATGGACAGTAATATTTTCATATGTTGCTTCAGACAAAGTGCAGCAGAGTGCAGAGGAGGAGAGATGGAGGTTGATGGGCCTCAGAGAGAGATAAGCCTCAGAGGTGACACTGAGAGGTGAGACCTGGCTGACAAGCTAGTTAGCTAAACTACCCCACTTGCAGATGTGATAAATGTTAAAGTCCTAATGGTTATCTGAGGCGACAGTTGATCATATTCAATTTTTTGTATGTTGCACCAGACAGGAGAAGCAGAGTGCAGGAGAGATTGAGCTGGCTGAGTCAGGGGAAACAGAGAGAGAGAGGAGGAAGGGCAGCAAGAGGCAGGCAGGAGAGATCACACCCCAGAGACGAGACTGAGGAA